TTTTTTTAAAAAAATATTCATATTAAATATATTTTATACTTATAAATTTTAATAAATTCATATCTTATTTTAAATTTCAATTTCTATCTTATTTAAAATTATTTTTATTTTTATTTTGTAAAAAAATATATAAAAAATTACATGTTAAACTGTATATTAATACAAATTAAAAATAGAAATAATATTTACATATATAATATGCTTGTAATTGATATCACAAAATAATATATGTAATATCTACATAGATATTATATTATTAAATATATAAATTAAAATTAATAATATACTATAAAAGTTATTTAAGTTGTATATATTACAAACAAATACATTAAAACAAGTAATCATTGTTATATTTAATAAGACTCTTTGCTCTTTCATTAAGAGAATCAATTTTCATTATTATTTTTATAGTTTATGATCTCTTAAAAAAATTAAATAAAAAAAAGAAAGAAAAGTGATTGAACCGGTTTGACTCATCGGTTCACCAGAAAATTGACCGGTTCAATCCGATTTAAAATGGATCGACTACATAACCGATCTAACTTAAGATTCGGATCAGCTGGACCACCGGTTCCCGGTCCAATCCACCAGTTGGATCCGAGTTTTAAATCACGGAGAGTAACTAATACTATCATCACATATTTATTGAGACAACATGAGGTGAATGGTTAAGGCCCAGGACTTGTTTGAGGGGATCTTTGCCTATTTGAAGTAAGATGCTATTAATTTGCTTGAGATCCAACTATGCTCCCCTACTTGAAGACGTACTGAACTTGTCTACCACTGATTATTTCGAGACAAGTTAACCATTGTCCATTTCAATAAATCTGCAGAAAACAGGATGGAAGTTTTGTTTTTTGGGATCACATTCTTTTCTTTGCAAATCATTACAATAACTTGTTCGTCATCAACGAGAGAGATAGTAAATCTCACTAATATCTTCACTCTTTTATCTTATTTCATGCTCACTGAGCACACTACAAATGTTTTCTTTGATCAAGAGTATCGATCTCTTTCCTATCATATTTTCATTCCTTTTCATTTGGATGAGAATAGATAAAGCGAGAAGGAGCAGAAATTGAATCATTTCAACGCGAGAAAAAAATGCTACAAAATGTTTTCTTTTCTGTTACTTTTCAGCCAAATAAAAAATATTTTTTAAAATTCTCCATATTTTCTAAGATACATGTTTTAAAGTACAAAAAAAAAAAGAATTAAAAAGGTAAACTACCCTTTTTGTCTTTTATTTAATTGAATTCTTCTATTATTAAAAAGCTACTATATAGTCTCTTATATTTAAAAAAAAAATGGTGTAATGTGATTATTTTTGTCTAATGTGAAACGTGGTGTTAGAATTTTATTTATTTATAATAATATATGTTAGATGTTTAACATATTACATGTCGCAAAGTTAACGTTAATAGTCTTAATTAAATATATTACATTATTTTTAAAAAGAATGAATTAAACTGAAACTTTTAATAATAAAGATAAAAAAGAGTAGTTTAACATTAACACCAAAGATAAAAATATGTTTCGTAGCTGTTGATAGAAAAGGACAAAGGACTCTAATTACTCACATGAATGACGTGACAATGCAAATTCTCTAGTTATTTAGAGGTGACTCTAATTACAGAGGGGGTAGAAACGAGAAAGCGCGTGGAGTGGGGGGGTGATCGCGTAGGGTGGTTCGTTTGTGGTCTTACAGCAGAATCTTTGTTTCATACGATACGAGTACACGAGCGTGGGCATATAACACAATAGATCATACTACAAATCTAACATTAACATTTAACAAATACAAATACACATCCCCTTTAATTATACTATCATCAAAATTAGTTTAAGTGAATTTCACCTTTTTAAATAAAATCTCCGTTGAAAAAATTACATTTCGTTTTAAATACTGAGTTGATTTTTTTAGACAAAAACTTAATTACAGATAAAATGAATAGAGTAAATAGGTATATTTAAAGTTTTAGGAAGAGCAGAGAAATAAATAATAATAATAATAATAAAAAAAAAAAAAGAAGATGCATGGAAAGAAAAGAATAAAGCGGGAGAGTTGATTAGCAATAATAAATAGGGAGAATTAAACATTAATAATAAAATATTGTTTGAGCTTGGGTGGCTGTATTGTTGTTCTTGTGTATCTGTGGTGACTTTAGAGTTTAGAGTTTAGAGCTCTTTCTCTCTCTCTCTCTCTCTCTCATACGTCCCTTTCAGTCATAAATTAGGGAAAAGCAAGCAGACAGCTACACACAAGACTCTCTCTCTCCCTCTCCCATTGCAATTGCTGCTTCTTCTCTTGGAACGGAACGATAATTAGTTTCTCTCTCTCTCTCTCTCTCACTCATACTCATACTCATACTCATACTGATAGAATCACAATCATCGATGCTCCTCGTTCCTCCTCTTTCTGCATCGTCTTCCTAGACTCTCTCTTTGTAACCACTCATCATGGCGGCTGCGTTTGATGGATTCTCCATAAGGTATATCTATCGGACCAAGTATCTGTGCTATGTGGATTTCCTTTGTTTAGGCTGATTTGATTCGGTGTTGCAGGGACTACACATCCAAGATGAGGTCCGTCGACGTCTTCAAGTGCTGGCCCTTCACATCGACCACCTCCACGGACGTCTCTCGTCAGGAAGTTCAGTCCTGGCTTCCTCCGATGACGCTTTGCCCTAGATCCGACCATTCCAACCACCATCCCCACAATCCGCCTTCTGCCGAGGAACTTTCTAGAACAGACGAGGACGACCACCACGATTATTGCAGCCAAGAAGAATCCGCGCCTGCTCAGGACGCCGCCAACGAGGAAGACAAATTGGAGATGCTTTGTCCGGTTTGCCGCCAATTCAACGCCGCCACGCTCACGGCGGTGAACGCGCACATCGACGGCTGCCTCGCGCAGACCATGAGGGAGGAGCGTCGCCACATCAGGATAATGAATTTCAACTCCTCCTCCTCCTCGTCTGCGTCCAAGGCCAAGGCGCCGAAGAAGCGCTCCATCGCCGAGATTTTCAAAGTGGAGGAGGAGCAGCAGCCGCAGCCGCAACCACAGTCGTCGTCGCCGCAAATCGAGAGCGTGTTGAAGTACTGGCCGTTCCACGAGGACGACGCCGACGATGTGTCGATTACCGTTACGAAGTTCGAGTGGCTCTCTCGGCGCCTCGAGGCGCTGAGATCTACGCGCGGGGGCGGCGAGTCGGCGAAACCGGACCGAAGAGATTCCGCTGAGGAGGAGGAGAAGCTGGAGATGGTGTGTCCTGTTTGTCGAGATTTCAACGCCGCCACCGTGACGGCGGTGAACGCGCACATCGACGGTTGCCTCGCGCAGGCCGTTAGGGAGGAGCGGCGGCAGATGAGGAGGACTGGTTGGAAGCCCAAACCTAAGGCGCCGAAGAAGCGCTCCATCGCGGAGATTCTCACGGTGGCGCCGCCGATTGAAGCCGGCAAAAGTAAGGCGGTTCAGGTTGAGGAAGATGAAGAGAAATCCGATTATGTCTGTGGAGATTCAACGAGTGCTGCTCCTGCTCCTACTGTTGCTGTGGCTCCCGTCGTTTCGGTAATTAAGATCAAGAACAGTACGAACAAGATTAGGAAAAAGAAGAAGACGAAGAAGGTGAAGAAGAAGAAAAGCAAGGTGGAAAAGTACGCTGAGAGTGGCGTGTCGTTCGTGAACAATGAGAAGAAGACGGTTGTGAGCAAGAAGAAGAAGAAGAAAAAGAAGAATGTCTTCAACAACGGACCAAATGTTAAGAAGGTATGTGGTTTGCGTCTCATAAAATATAAGTTAATCTTTCGTTATTTGCTGTGTGTTTCCGCGATTTGCTGTTAATTCCTTGCAGATAAGGATATAATTCATGGAATTTGAGCATAAAATATTACTCGACACTGTAGATTACGGCTTTGCTTGCTCTATATGTCTTGCTTTTTCGGCATAAAATTACTGCTGAAAAAGCTGATTATAGAGAGAGAGCTACACATTTGTGGAGAAAGTGAGTGTGTTTTCTTTTAATTTAGTACTTGAGCGAAATACGCGGCAAGTAAAAGTTGGGAAAGGGGAGTTATGGAAAAGAAAATTAAGACAAGTGCCTTCGTGCGCGGAAGGAATTCAGAAGGGTAGTGAAGCCTGCAAGAATGTTGCTCCAGCTGTAGGGTGAGTGTGTATTGTGTGTATAATCAGTACAAGTACCCTAGCTAGAAGGGGCCACTCATGGGTTACGAGGTAGAAGAGCCGAGCCTAATGATGAGGGGTTTTTGTAGCCGCGTCACTATTAACTAATTATTTGCGGGGGAATTATCGTATGGGCCATGGGTAGATCAACAGATTCTCATCTCTTGTGGCTAGTTTTTCGCACGTAGAGGTTTATACACAGCTTACAGCTGGATGTATTTTGGCGAGTGGGATATCTGCAAGTGGAGGTCCAGAATTTGATAGATCATTTATTGGGTCTGTCAGATGTGTATCTATATGTAGTGATTTGGATTGATGAACGTTTGCATATGCAGTTCCAGATGGGTATGTATCATCAGAAAAAGAATGCTCTGACTTGGGTTGATATGGATCATTATCGCATGGGCATATTTTATGACGTATTAGTGAAGTAGAGGGTGGTAATGTATGGTATAATGGTTTTGGACTTTCTGTCGTCGTGTGAGACACTTGATCATATTCTGATCCGAAGTTTTGGTCTGTGGGGAGAATAGTAGTAATTTGGATGTATCGATTAACAAAAGTTAAGTGACTCCTGTTTTGTACATATTTATGTGCAGACAATTTTGAGATACGATCAAATCAATGCGAGTGTCTATCAGAACCCAACCTAGGAAGTATATAGAACCATTAGAGGACCGAAAATAATGTCAGTTCATGGTTATGTGGACCGAAATTTGAAAGTGGAAGTAATCAAATATTTAACCTGGCTAGCCATGAAGGTTACTCGATGATGATATAAGGATGATATATAATCTTGCTGTCAACTGTATCCTTAGAAGTGATGTAAACTTGTCTGTTCTTACTGTATCGGTAATGGCATCTTAGTAGTGTCTAGATTGTTTTACATAAGTTTATAGACTAATCTTAGTAAATACGGAGTACTTTATTTTCCAAAAATAATCTCTCACTCTGGTTCTAAAATCATATATTTATTTTCCAGCCCATCATTTTCTTTTTTCAAGAGTGAATTAGTGAATTTTGTGGCATTCAGATTCTATGGACAGGAAACCTCAGGTTTAAAATGGGGACATTTTGGACCACGTAATACAATTTCTACAAAAGGTGTGTTATATGTGAACTTCAACAGCGAACATTTACGTAGCAGTCTCCATTTTATGTAAAAAATAAAAAATTAAGCATCATGATTCATGCATCCATTGTCCATCCCCTCACTCCTAATAAAATTCATTTACAGTCCCACTAAGTTTTTAATTTAATTAAAATAGATGACTTTATTCCTTTATAATTAGAGTCTTTCTCATTTTAAAAGATCGATTAACTTGTGCTTGAAATTGCCTTTTCTAAAAGAACTAAGATATGAATCATAAAAATATATCTTACAATAATAATTTTAACCACATGGTGATATTATTTAATTTAATCTGATTAGTTCTTTGTCCTAACAATATTTACTATATCCATGCATGTGTTTTTCGTTAGCTTCTACTTCGTATAAACAAGGATACGAATGTATATATATTGTTAGAGAAGTACGGTTTTTACTGGGTTATTATTTTTAGAAGTAATCTCTTATGATTTCAAACGAAAGTCTCCCTGTATGATTCCTCAAATGGAATTGTACAAGGTAGAAATTTGTGATAAAAAATATATAGAATTGTCATTACATGTTTACATTTTTTGTTTATTTTGCCATGAAGTGTAACTGGAGACCAAAGTAGAAAACTTCTTGTGAGAACTTAATTAGAAGGTACGGAACTGTAAAGTTTTTCTTCTTATAACTGTATATCTTAATATTATGTAATTATTTTAAGCCCCAGTTTTCGGTTACAACTAGATTTTTTCAAAAAATAAATTTTTTTACCTAATTTTTCAGGCTAATTTAGCGTTCTATTATTAAGTAAAATATTTTAGGGATATGTAGTTTCTATTCGTGCGTAAAGGCTTTAATATAATATATTTTATAATCAAAAAATAAGATTTTGAATTGAAACTCATGCATTCTTGCTGGTATTCATATATATATATATATATATATATATATATATATATATATTATTAACTACATCTAGTTTGATATGTGTTCATGTAGTTATTTTCAAGTCCATTAAATCGTTAAAGCTTTAAAAATAATATATTTGTACGAGAATATATAAGCTCAAATAACCTTATATTTATTAACTACGAGCATTTTCTGGGATGGATTAATAACAAAAATTTCCATAGCTTTTCTTTTTATCTAAGTGTATTTTATGTCTATTTAAGCATATGATCTATCCATGTACGATGTGTACATTTATAAATTTCTATGTTTCGCTCTTCTGAAAATAGCTACTAAAATGACAAATTCAAGATTTTTATTTTTAAGCCTTTATGAAATTTCTTATCATAATAAAATAAGGATATAAATTAGTTCTTAATTCAATTGTTTCAATCTTACAAGCTTCTACTTGAAATTTTCCGAAACACTAGGGAAGTTTTTGTAGTAATTGATTCTAATTTATTCCAATTTGTTACGTTTTGACATTTTTTTTAAATGGATGATGGAGCACTTAAAACCCCAATTAATCTATTATTCAAATGCTACTAGAGTCTTTTCCTCATTGTTGTGATTGAAAGTAAAAAAAAAAAAAAAATTTCAGTTAATAATCTAAGAGTTTGTTCATCGAGAAGTTTAGATCGTGATTTTCTAATCAATTCTGGAAATATAGTTTTGTGTAGTTCCATGAAACTATCTATATGGTGGATTTGTTCTTTTTGTCTTAAATCTACTTTTACTTAACCATAAATTCCATTCGAAAACTCCTCTGCCATTTCATCTCAAGCAGTCACACGATACAGGCATGAGCGGAGTTTCTTAACAAAAAGCTTTTTGAGGAGGGAAAAAATAAGAGTTGGAATAAGTGAAAAACCAATGCTCTGAGTAAACTGTTAGGGACATTCATCTTTGGACATCAAGTTGACAAGACATTATACTATGGTTCTGGAAGCGACATTATAAATTGTAACGGTCTTAGACAATTTAAATCCTTTCTAAGTTGCTGGCTGAAATCGTTGAAAGGATATGAAAAGCTGATTTTCTACGGTGGCAGTTTGTAAAACAGACCTATTCTTGGCATCACTATACATGAAATGATGCCGTAATCTTATTTAGTTTCTTCATCTTTCATTCCTTAAATTTTGGAACTGCTGTATCTTGATATATCATACAATTTGTTAACCATTTCTCAAGCATTTGAATATTTGTTTTTGGTGTGCCATTTTATTTATTACTATTTATTGCAAAAAAATGATATAAAAGCTTCGTAAGGTATTATTATTTTTACGTTTCCTAAGCATGGGATTGGAGATATAGTGAATTCTCTTTGGACATGAGTGTTTTGAATAGCTTAAAGCTTAGTCAGCTTCTTTTGATTCTATTATAACATCCATAATTTTGTTAATATTGTCTTCTCAGGATGATGCTTACAAGCGCATGGTGCAAACTGCCGTCAATAGTTCCAGAAAACTAAAAGGTACAGTTGGTAATAAAATGGTTCCACTCCATGAGGTTGATCGTTCTATCGAGAGAAAGAAATTGGGCTTAAATTGTTTATCGGTAGAAAAGAAGCAAAAAGTTAAAAACTGCAACTCAGTTGGAAAGAAACAAAAAGCAGTATCTCCTGTTCATGGCACTCTTAAGAAGAATTTTAAACATGTTTCTGAACAGACATCAAGTGACAGTGATATTCGAGATGGTACTGAAGAAAGGCATTACAATTATCAAGAGCCAACCTTGGACAGACATGTGAAATTCTCTGGTAAAGATGATATTCTTGGTCCAAAAAAGACAAATTCATTTGATGAAACCATGTTCAAAATATCTTCGGATGTGCTGGCTTCTTCTGTAGTAAAGGAGAAGTCCTCTGGAAGTGATGAAGAAACTGCAAGCTTGGAGCCAAACAAAAATTATGACCGTATTGCCGTTAATATAGACAGCGACAAGAGAGAGGAGGTTAGCCCTATAGTTGAAAGTAAACAGTTTTCTAACACTCTGGAACAAGTTACTGTACAAAGCTTCTTGAAGCCGAGTATCAGTGAAGAGAAGTCAAAGCACTTAGAAGAGAAGTCAGAATTGTTGACCAAGGTGGCAGTTTGTGACAATAATAATTCAGAGTTCTTTTATGGGGGCAACAGAACCACCCTGCATTGTTCTCCGTATGCCGACATTTCTAGACCTCTTTCCGCAGTCCAAGAAGAGCAGATGTCTGGTATAAATACACAATCGTGTGAATCTGGATCTTTCAGCTACAGTGGAAAGTTGGACCATCTGGATGATCCACAGGTTGATGCTGTTAACTTAAATGAAATTACAAAGACTTTTCTGGAGCCTTCGTCATCTTATTCTGCTTCATATAATAAAGCAAATGAAAAACCAGAATCTCCATTGCAAACTTATGGAGATAAAGATAATAGTGGTGAGGCCATGGGTGACAGACAGTTGTCTCATATGTTTTCGGCAGATATGATTGATAACTCATTCCCCTTTACAGGCTGGGAGAAAGGAAGTGTTAAAAGTAGCTGTTTGGATCCGAATTTTTTCGGTTTGCCACTGAATTCTCATGGCGAGCTAATCAATTTCAGTTCAAGTGCAAACTTGGGGAAGAAACAGTCAGAGGCATCAAGTACACTACAAGGTTCTTTAAGTGGTTTACCCATTAATAGTATTCTCCATCAAAGTAACCAGGAAAATATAAGCATTAATGAGAATCATGTTGTTCCGAAGACATTTCCAAAAGATGGTCTTAATCCATTTCCTTATCATCCAACCAGATTAGCTGTCACTGAGTTACAATGCAGAGAGAGAGAAGATATCCAGCGACCTAACTCAGATATGCGTTCCAGTCACTATGTCCCGCCACTTAATTCAGAGTTGAACCTTAAAAAAAACTCGTTCATTGAACAAAATCAATGTGACCAGGTCCGGAATCACAATGGAAATGGGGTGATTTCTGTGAAAGAAGGTTCGGATCATTTCTCACTGTGTTCCAGCCAACCAACAATGAGGTTGATGGGCAAAGATGTTCCAATAGGTAGAAGCAGCCAAGAGATGCAACAATTTGTGGGAGATGTTTGGACTGATGAGGAATCCAGAAGAAGGAATTATTCTGAATATGCTGCTTTAGAACACTCTTTGTTTGGAAGAAGTTCTAAGCAGGATTGGATATCTGGTTCACCTTTGCAAATATCATCTGACAATGTATTGCAATCAGCAAAAATTCAAAGCAATCAAGCGTTACAAAGCACCGTATTGATGAGCGGTACAGACTCTGGATTCTCTCAACAGTTTATTGATCTGCAAAGTAATCAGTTATCTCAAAATGGAAGTCTTGGAGTCAACAGAAATGGAAGCTCTTATTTCAATCCCATTACTCAAAAGTCTACATCGTATGCATTATTTAATGGGGCATCTAATGACTTTCCAGAGCAGTTTGTACCTGGAGCTAAACCCCTAGGATTGAGCTCTGAATCACTGGTGCTACCTACTCCTGGCAATTTTAGTCACTCGACCCGATTAAGCAATGGCGAGCTGAATGACAGAAACAAAAATCCAAGTGTTACCAAATCAGCCTTCGGATTTCCTTTCTTGCAGCCCAATGTCAATGAACAGGCCAAAACATCTTGGTTTCATAAGCCCTACAGAAGTTCACCGTCATGGTTCTCAAGCTCAACAGATGAAATGCTACCAGGGACCTTTTCTCAGCAATTTTCTGGCGCAAGTAGTCAAAGCTTTCCTCCAAATCCGTGGGGAAATAATTTCACTACGCCATCTGTGAATCGTTCAGAAGAATTTCGCTTTCCTTCTAATCATCTGACTTCTCTGAGTCCCATGCAGACGACTCCTCTTTCTCCAGCATCAATTGTTCAACCTCTACATGTTCCAGTTACATCCTCTACCATAAATAGTGGCAATAGAAACATAAATAAGGTCTCTGACAGATTGAAGTTGGATGACCATCATCCGTGCACAAATACCAGGAAGAGACCCGCAGCTAATCTTGATGATTCCAGAAGACCTACCAAGTTACCTCATATACAAGTGCAAGAAAACTTGAGTTGTATGACTAGGTTGACCGGAGAAAAGTCAAGCGCAGAACTGCAGCGAAACACAAGTGCACTCGAACTGGATCCGCAAATGGGCAGTACTAGGAGTAGATGTTGTCAGCATGAGGCACAAAATCTAAATCCTGTAAGTTATCCTGCTGTGAATTCTTTTAAACTGGACGGCATGGTAACGTCAGGTCCTGTCCGACTTGGTCCTAAAAGAGCCAAGCACATCCTAAAATCCTCTTGAAGTATGGATCAGGATGACAAACTTTTCTGCCATATTCTCATTCGTGACTACTGACAGTGATAGTGATGTAGAAATTCAGAGAAAATTGACAAAAGTATACTGATTTTAGGTGTAAGTCATCATTTTATCATATCTGTTTTTCCTCCTCCATAGTATATATCCATTTAAAAACATAACAGGATTGTCCATGTATCAATATTGCCAGGTTGCTGAAACCGGTGGAAAATTGATATAAATTCCATCCAGCTTCTCAGTTTTGAAGTTTTAGATCCTTACAGAATTTTGTACCCAAAGATGACGCTTTCGATATCTATTTTTGAGCCAGGTATTCCCCACATGGCATCTGTTCAATGACTATGCAAAGATGTGCTTTTTCCGATACAGCAGAAAGAAATGAAAGATGGTCTTTAGAATAAGGGAATAATAGTTCATAATATTACTAAACTCGTTCAATAGAACTTGAATTTGGACCTTTAGTTATTCATCAATAAACCATTGGATCACATTAATTTGAATTGGCAAAATACATTTATGAAAAAGATTTCTACCATCTTGGCTTTGATTATTCTTGAGAAAATAATTTTTTATTTAAAATCTTTTCTGAAAAAAAATAATATTACAAGCTGTTCTGGATATGAAATAAGTTAATTTGATGGAAAAAAAATAGCTTTAATTTGCTTTCCCATCTTATGTTGTGAGAGTTTAAACTGAATTAAGTCTTTGTAATTGTTTTAAATGTATTAAAATAAATAAATTCCATTAATACATTCCAAGCTCAATCACAAAGCAGACATTACATCGGTAAATGAATTTCAAATTCATCTGATTCAAAATGTACAAATGACCTGTCAGATATATTCTTTTATTGTCGGGTATACTAGCGCTTATATAAACATAAAATTTTATCAAAATCCAACGAAAAAGTTAGTAGGCAAGTATTGCCGTCGATCCTCTTGTCTGAATCGTTGTCCGTACAAATCGTACTTCTCCAACTATTCTATTGGCCTAACTTGTATTTTTAAACTTGTGTATATTACTGAGCTGGAAGTGATGAAGAAAACCAACACAGTATCTTTCTAAGTTGTTAGGTTTTAGATTGCTAAACATATAAAACCGGAAGAGTAGTCTAGGATAATTCATCTTACGACTGCGTGATTTTATGTTTAAATTTTTATTTTCTGCCCCATCCTGATTATTATCTGTTAAACCTTCATCCAACACAGTATTAGTTTTTTTTAGGAAAAAAAAAACTGTTGTAATTTTTAATGTACTTTTAATATTTTTTAATTAAAATTGAAATTTTATTTCGATACTCTATGTTAATCTTTGATACAAAATTTTATCATGTAAATTATTGAGGTTTTCTGATTGTGATCGAAGAACAATATTTATAACTTAAGGAATTGTATTTAAATTCTTTTTTTTTCATTTATTACAAGATTGGGTTTTTTGCAACTTAATTTAATTTATGCACAATAGCTAAAGCGATTTTTATGTTGCAACTGCTGAAGTTGCTCTCAAAGCATTAATTATGATTTATGCGATCCTCAAGCTTGGCCTTAATCGTTTATGTTATATGCTTGTTACTTACATGATGATTCATCCCAATTAAGCACGAGTATCGGGGTTAGGAAATCGATTCGAAATCCTTGCGGTAGAATTTTGGTTGGAGGGTTTAAAGAAAAAGTGAGATAATGTTGTCTTAACTAAATCAGGAAATAGCGTCATTTAATGTTAAATATATATCAAATCAATCAACTAGATTGGAAACCCTTACATTCTTAAACCACGGAAGGTACACAGAAAACTTATACCAAGCTTATAATTATTGCCGTCTTAATTATATAATTCTGAAACTCCGTCTTCTTCATGTTGAAGTACACACAGAAAGTACAAATGTCAACATGTTTACGTTCTCTTCATTCCAAATCTATAATCGCTCAGTGCTTCTTTGCTTCTTTTTCAGCCTGCACATATGAAGTTAGAAAAAATGTTGAAAACGGTTAAACACAAAAAGATGAGCTTTATAACGAAGCAATATGCTGCCTTTGGCTCATAGTTGTTTTGAATATATCATACCACTCTGATTACTCTTTCAAAGGCATCAGCGCCATATCTATCAATATAGCGTTCAACTGCTTTCCTTGCATCCAAGGTCATCATGTGAAGGACCTTCTTGTACTCCTCAGGATAATTGGAACCTCCATAGCTTCCAATATTCTTTATGTATTGCCTCACAAAATTCTCATATATGTATGCGGCTCCATTGAACATTGGCAGTACCAGCCATGCGCAAAATACAAGCTTCATGTATGGCCAAATGGGAAACCTGTATCAAGTTGCTGTGAGTATTTATGTCTATATATAACTTAATTTGACATGAAATTAAGGTGAACGTACCAACATAGGATCCTATGAGTGGAAAGCTCAAAGAGGGTTATGAAGGAGTATAAAACCCAATACGTTAGCCACTGTTGATCATCTAAGGTTGAAGGACTTTCAATCGCCCTCATTGATGCGTACCTATTACATTTACTCCAAAGTCAAGCATTTAATGGTTAGTCATGTAATCGATCAGATGAAATGTGCATGGCTCTGCGTAGGATGCTTAATTGGTTTCTTATTAATTGTAAACTAAGAATTAATTACATGAATCAGAAAGTGTGAAAATGACACGTGATCGCATGATATGACATTTATTACTTACAGAGGATAAAGAAGCATCACTCCAGGCCTGTTATGCAGAAAACAAAAAGCAGGCTGTTATCACGGGGAAAAAACAAAATTTAAAATCTACACTAGTGTACGTATTTTGGTGAATCTGTTTTTATAAAATGAATTTTATACATATAACAATGCATGTGTTGGAGTGGAATGAATATATACAACCCATGCATACGACACATTAGAAACAAATAAATTACTGATATTTTTAAAAGCAAATAAATGGAGAGAGATTTGTTGACCCTATTATTGTGTCCAAATGTCTTGCCATTGTTCCAAGGACACCCATGATGCAGAAACTGCGATATTAAAGTTTTAGGAAGATTTGGAGTGAGAGATATGAATGAATGTGAGTTGTGTTGTGGTTGCATGCAAGTGGTTAGATGTATATATGAAGTTTAGTAGCGGGCAGAAGGAAGGAAGGAAGGAATGTTTGTGCGATGAGCCAAAAGTCTTCCTTTCTTTTGTCTTAGGACTTGAAGATTAAGGTATCAGGTATGGTATGTGTAACAAAAGGGTAGGGGAATATAAGGATTCCAGAAGTTTGGAATTTCACGTGCTTTGGAACTCGTGCATATATATTGCGTATATATATATTATGCCTTACCTTTTCAACTCTAAGCTTTAAAGTTTGTGGCATTAAATGTTCAACATAATGTATGCGGACCAGCGTGTCTGCCCTTTTCATTGTTTTCCACTTTTACCAGTAGAGTTGCTCAAAAAGTACAATATACATGACAAAATAGTACCCATTCAATTCAAGCCCTACCTTGTGCGTGGAGACGGAGAGAATCTACTTTTATTATTATTATTATTATCATTTAATGTGTGCTGTCACATTATTTAATTTTTAATTTCTCTTGGGTTTAATATAATCAAATTTATTAAATAAGATTGAATGATGTTAGGAAAGTGATTTTAGTCACTCGGAAGTAATATATACTTATAAGGTCACAAATTCAAATTTCATTATGTATTATCATGATACCATAAATATGTTATATTAGCAATAAATATAATGGGCATGGGTGCTTATTTAATGGAAAAGTGAGAACTGACGTAACATCTTGACCATGATTAAGATTATTTTACTGAAAATCCCACAATTGTAGGTGGCTTTTGTAAATTATTGAAGTATTACTATTGGTTTACTTGATCTAGTGAGCTGAAGAGAGGCAGAAACTAAAATGAAGAAGGGATCATTTCATTTGGGTTTCAGAGCATAAATTTATTGGGCCTTTCAACCTAGCCCATATGCTCTACAAACTATAGAAGGGAGGCCCTTTTGATTTTACAAGTTTATATTTGAATTAAATTTTTTTTTTGTGAATTCCAGTTTAAGTTTCTAAGAATTTTATATCTTTCTCAATTTTTATTTATTATTTTTGGTTCCTATCGTGAAGTAATAACGGGAAGTGTAAAAAGCTGGGTAAATTATGTTTTTAATTTTAATTCCTAAAATTTTCATGAAATTCTCTCTTTAGTTCTTCACTCTTGAGCAATAGTTACTTGAAATACTTCACTTGGCTTATGTCTTTTGCCTTTAAACATTAGTTCTGCATCGGATCTGAGAGCAACTTGGTTGGAACTTGGAAGTATGAGGAGTGTTATTAAATCAAGAAAATGTTACTTGAAAAACAACACATGCAACTAAGGGAACGATAGGAAGAGTAATAAATGATGCGATTAAGGAACAAAACTTTTTTTTTATATATGTATCCGTAGAAATAGAGTAAAAGCCTTGTCCACTGTTTTTCATAACAAATTTGTTCTTTGTAATTTAGTTTGATTTTGTAGATTATTATATATCGATTCCAAGTTAACTATTTTAAAAATTTGAGCAAAATAATTATATCTTTGGTTGTGAAAGAAGAGATTATTTCCCTTTCCTTTTAGGTTCCGAACCAACAAAAAGAAGGAAGAAAGAGGGTTGCAATGTTGCAAGTATACCTATTCAAAGGAAATGAAAATATATTTAAATGACGTTAACAGTACACATTTATTTTCAACAAAATCATTCATTCCCATGCCTCAGTGTTGATTTATTTGTAATGAGATTAATTGCCATTTATGGGTGAATGAGTATTGCATTCAAATTGGCATCTTCAACCTCGTGGTCCCTCACCCAATGAATAAATCAATTGGCTAGTGTTTACATTTTTCACTTGTGATTCACAAATCACATTTATGCTCACTATATTGCTGTTGTGGACCACATTATATACGTATTACTAATTGCTATCACTAACAATTTTTTTCTTACCTACTTTTACTAGCCATTCTAATTAACATATCATTTTTCTTCTTCTTTTTTTTGGTCAACTTTTACCGCACCTAATTTTATTTTGGACAATTAAATTGTACTTACACACAGTTAATATAGAAGTTAATACACTTTATGTTTTTCTTGGTAGATAATACACCATAATTCACATTAGATTAATTAAAATTGTGTTAAAAGAGTAGTTACCGTGATTTTAGTTTTTTTTTTATTTTTAAATTAAGGTATCTCCTTATTGGAAGCTAAAATCTAACCTTTTAAAATATTGAGATTTATTTGAGGGATTCATCTCTCTTAATAAATATTTTTTTCATATAAATTCATTTAATTAATGTAATTTTAGTTAATTGTTCGCATATCTAATCTGGTGTTAAGAATTTGATTCTAAATATAAAATTGAATTTAATTTGAAGTAGTAGATCTTGTGGCAAATGAAAATGATTATACTTAATTAGTTTTACAGGTAACTTGTTTTTAGAATAAACACAACCGGATATAAATTATTTTACTTCAATCAATTTTAACTAAAACTAATTTTATATAATAAATTTTATAAATATTCACTAAAAGATATGCAATAAGTTATACGGGTTAAGATTTTCTAAATTTCTTTTCTTTTTCATTAGTATAATTTTTTTTAAAAAAATCATACACATGCGAGAAAAGGTACTACCTCCATTCTCATTTATAAGACCAAATACTAGACTTTCTTAGTCTAAGTGACGAAATCCAAGAAATTATGTTGTGTGGATTTATATCCAAATTTATTGTTGATGTAACAAGTCCAGAAAATCGTCTTATTAAGTTGGATTACTGACATGTATTGTAAGAGATTTCATAGTTGAAATGGATGACAACACATTGAGTTGTTGTGTTGCCATGTTGAAGTGTTGTTCAAGTTAACATGTTGCTAAGTTGTGTTGCATATTTTACTATGTTGATATGTTGTTGAGTTGTGAGTTATACAATGTTAAGTTAATATGATATTGAGTTGAATAATTGTGTGTGGATATATATGTTATTTAGTGTTGATATGAAGTTGGAGATTGATGAATTGATTTGTGTGTGTTGCTAAGATAAGTTAGTTGTTATAGTGATATGTTGAAATTGTTGATATAGTTGTATCTTACTTTTATATTATATGTATGCTTTGTTGTTTACAACCTTACTCTTGTTTTTTCTCATTGTGGACCATAGTGATCATATTTATCATAGGAGTAACATGTTTAAGTTAAAGAGTACACTTATGCTAGAGATAGTTTCTATGTCTTGTTGTGTTGTTCTGACACAACATGTATGTTTAGAAATGCTTGGTTAGTGTTAGAGCTTTGTGTTTTTAGTATTTTATACTATATGTATATTGTTATATATGTATAGGATTTTATTGTAATCCCATAAAGGAATTTATATTTTTTTAAAGTTAAAATTGGTAGGGACTATTTTAGGTTTTTAACACCATATACATATATGTTACATGGATGCTCATATACAGTTGCTTGATAACTCTAATTTAGTAGATTTTGTATGTTTTTCGTCGCGTAATGTTATACTATACTAAATGTAATGATTTGTTGAGTCATTATAACATGTACTCTAATTTGATTAGGAGAAAGATGAATATCAATTATTAGAGAGAAATAGCATAAGCAAATGCAATCTAATTACTTAGAAGTACGAGTATTGATTAGGAAAGAGAAATAATATAAAAATAGTTTTAGAAGAAAAAAATGTATAAATAAATTTATTGTTATTAACCAAATTAACTACTTTCCTTAATCTTAGTAAATTAAGTTATTGAGTTTTATATATAAGAATAAAAGTAATGTGATTTATTTTCTTAAAATTGTAGTAATGGAAGAAATGAAAAAAAATAAAAATTAAAGAGATATTTTCCCAAGTTATACGTGACTCACGTTTGAGTTTCAATAGATACTATGTTAGCACTTTTTGGAGTTGTTTTTCTATAGAGTAATTTCCATGGAAAACTGATCTATGATTCTTTAGCAACAACACAACCTGTCTTTGCTCGTCACAACAACAAATGTTGGTACGTGTAAGGAAACAATCCTCAATTTTACTTATATATATATATATATATATATATTATCTTTCACTAAATCAAAATATCTTTTAGCCAAAGTTTGCATTATTCCAAATAAAGGTACGTACGTACATCAAACATGGTGATAGCTCTAAGTCTAGGGCAGTTTTATAGTTGTCCTTGTTTCCATCTTACACTCTTCATATATATATACTTGAATACCAGTATAGTCCACTAATTCATAATTACTATATCTTCTACTTGGACTAATTAATATTTTACATAGTTCCTTTCCGGGGAGTGTTCTTTCCTATTGATAAAATAATGTATCTAAATTTTATGACATGTTCATATAATGTTACGCGTTCATTTTAATGAATACATAGTGTTTTTTTATTTATTTTATTTATATATATTGTTACAATTTTTTGTTTAACGCGTTAATTTTATGATTTTTTGATGCCTCCACCAAATTAACTGTTGCAGTGATTAAAGCAAAAATTGTTATTCTTATCGCAATTTAATATCCAAGTAATGTTACATTTAACAAGCAAAGCAATACATATAATTCGGTCCTCAGGATACTAATATTAATTTGCTTTATCAGCCAGTGTTACCTTGCACCACGACAAAAAATATTGTAATAATAATTTTTTTTCCGCCAAATTGCATTTTGGGTCTGTAATATTTATTACATAATTTTTATTTTCTAATTTTGTAATTTTTGTTCGGCGACTAAATATTTATTCATTAATAAATAATGTAATAATTAATGTTTAAGTTAAATTATATGTTTTATCCAATTTTTTATATCATTTTAAGTTAAATAAAAATAAGATTAAAAGGAAAAAAAAAACTAAAATGTTATTAAATATTAATTATTATTTAGTCACTGCTGCCGACAGTGGATACTCCAGGAACGAACAAAAAAAAATATTAATTATTATGTCATCTATTTAATTATAATAAGACTAAAATCATAAGTTTAAAAATTAGAAAATTATTAGATATAATAGGAGATAGAAAGTGCAATTTATCTAATATTTAAAAAAATTAATTTTTTTTCTAACTAATTTATATTACCATGTGTTTGCAACACTGATTCAAGATCCAGTAGATTATATG